ATATCACAAATAATTTTTTTTTTCTTTTCTGACATTTTCCAAGGCACTTCATTTATCATTTTCAAGGGTAACCAGAACATTAAACGTAATGAAACTTCAACACGAGTACATTCAACACTGAAATATTAAGCATGCAAAAAAGGATGAAGGTAAATATGATGTCTATTGAAAGATCAATCCACGTATATAGACATTGACGTTAGTTTTCCAGTTTATTTCCATCCACACGCACATACACCCTTTGTCTTCATATTTTTTGTGCGTGTTCATCCTTTCATGCTTAAGTATCCGCGAGTAAATTTCTATCTTGATCATTCGCTAATCCGTTTCAAGGTTTCTTTTATTAATTCTATCTCTAGCTGACGTTCTGTTCAGATTACTTTGAGCATTTTTTACCTTATTACACTGACTAATTCTACTCTATTTTATTAATATGTAAAGTATTGTCTGATCGTCAGAAATTTTCTGTTGTTTTTCTTATATTGATACTAGAATTCAGAAAGATTCTTTTCTTGAATTGAATTTTTTTTGCTATCCTATTATACTTTCATCGTGACATAAATCTCAACTTAGACTTTTAATTCTCTCCTGCTTACAAAATACTTGTCATCCTTTCATGCTTAAATGAACTTATTAGTGTGTTAAGGCGATATATAATTATCATCACGTACCTTATTTAAGGTTTAATATTAGTGTGGAAAAAAAAAACAGATTCATAATTTCTTGTGAAAGTGAAGAAAGATAGTCACGTAAATATTTACAGTATGGCAGACATTGAAAATCATTTAAATAATTTTCGTCAATGGGTTCATGAACAACAACCAACACTTAATTCACTTGATACAGATGAATTTTTATTACGTTTTTTACATGTTACAAATTTTCAATTGGATAATGCTAAAGAATGGTTAATACGTTTTTGGAAATATCGTACAGAAAATCCACAATGGTTTGTTCATGATCAATAAATTTAGAAAAAAATTCATTTTCTTATTTTCTTTAGGTTTACAAATCGTGACCTTTTAAAAAATCCATTAATGCAGGAAATAGCTGAAATTTCTTATTATTTTCAATTACCAAAAGAGACAAAAGATAAACAACTTATTGCTATTATGCGTATGGGACACTATGATACAACTAAATATACATTAGATGATGTTACTAAATATGCTTTTGCTATTACAGACATTCTTAATACTCAAGAAGCAGGTCGACTACATGGATTTATTATTTTATTAGATTTATCAGATGTTAAATTACAACATATTAGTCAATTTTCACCTGATCGTGTTCATCGTTATGTTGATTGTTGGGAAAAACTCTATCCAGTAAATTTGATTCAAATACATTTTTATAATTATCCACGTATATTTGATCCTATTTTACATTTATTTCGAATGTTTCTTTCACGAAAATTAAATGATAAACTTTTTCTTCATTCAAAATCATCTGATGAATCAACAAATAAATCATTACATCAATATATTGATCCATCATTATTACCAAATGAATATGGTGGTCAATTAGGTTCAATTGATGATATCAATAAAACATTTATTCAATGGATTCGAGAACGAAATGATTATATGATACAATTTGATCAATATGGTATTGATTTGAAACAAGCATCAAAATTATTAAAAACAATTCAAAAAGAACGTGATTAATAACAATTACTATGTCTATTATCATGCTTTATGTGTTCAATATTGTATTTAGTCGTACTATATATATATATATATATTTATTTATTTATTTTATCCAAGTATTTATATGTTTGTTTTTTATTGTTCGTATCTAAATAAATGATTTAACGTGCATCAAATTTCTCTAAGCGTGACAGAATTGACGTCATAAGAAGTAGATGCCTGCTACAAGTTTGAATACAAATGAAAAATGTTGAAAATTCCTTTCATGTACAAATATAGAAGAAATTAAAAGAATAAAATTGATATAAATAATAAAGTTACAAGTTGAATAGCACACCATTGTTGAAGCAGCGAAACAAAGCAACAGATAAAATTTTTATAAATGTATTAATTCAGTAGTAGACCTTTGTTCAAGTAGCAAAATAAAGTAGAAGATAAAATTTTTATCTAAATTATAATTTTGAATTAGAGCTATGCTCGTCACTTTGTACACAGAGAGGATTATGATAGTGTTTTGGAGAATCGAATAATTCAACTTCAAATATATATATATGTGTTAGATCACAGAAATTCATACATGTGACACTCGAAGAGCTGCTACCAGTTTTTAGCTTTTTTCTTAATTAATGCTAAGATGTAAGCATTATTTTCAGTTCTAATACATGTATTCAATGTAAGTGTTTAAAGGATCATACGAACATGCTATCTATAACTTTTCAGATGCTACTTCGAGATACTACATGTACCATCTTAAATGACCGATGTAACATCTCAGTTAAGAATAGATCCAATATGAATTATAATTACAAATTTAGATAAAAACTTAATTTTTTTCTTTTTCAATTGGAAAAATGTTTTTGTTTTTTAATTTTTCAGTTATTTTCGAAGTAATGATAGATACAAAGCTCTTCATTGATATTGAAACTCGAATTTAGACAACTTATGATCATAAGTGTGCTGAACTTGAAAATATTATGAACTGATAAACATGCACTATATTGCGCCTAGAACAATTACAATGTATCAATAATCATAATAATACTCCTATGATGTGCAGTCACTATTCTTTTCTTTTGTTTCTATTGTCAGTTACATTCTAATTGCACAGACTTTTTTTCTATTCACTTAAGAAAAAATGTCCGCAAAGTAGAATCAGGAGAAGAAACAAAAATAATTGCATTATAAAATCAAGATAAGATTTGTCATGTGGAAAAAAAGCATTAATGGAACATAATTGAACATTTCATTTTTTTAGGTTCATCAAGATCATTCTTGTCAGTTGTATAGAATGTTTTGGTTATATATTGATAACTATGAAGATTCAAAAGGCTATATAAATATTTTTGCTTGGTTTGAATCAAAATGTGTTGCTATATGCCACTGATATAACTCTTCCAGGATGATTCGAACAATTGTTAATTCTTCTGATACATGAATATATTTTATCCAGATTCAAAAATTTGGATGCATTTGACAATGAAAATTTAATTGATCATAGTATTCTTCTACGTGATTGTTAGTTTCTTGTCAAATTCAAATGAAATAAAATAAATTACAGAATGAGAGAAGAAATAAAGCATCTTCAATATACATACACGAAGAATATAACAGATTAATTTAAGAAAATTTAGAGTTTACATTTCTAATCTCTTCNCAGTAAAATTGATTTTTCTCAGTGAGGAAAACGAATTTTTGAGAAATCTCTTCGTAACTTTAAAGCTACGCATCTACTTGATCTAACCATATAAAAATATTGACTCTAACATTTCTAAGAACACCTGTGATAGACTTGCAAAGTTAAGTTCCGGTTTTTCAGCACGGATCTTGGGAAATTATTTTGTGAGCCAATGCTTTGTTCTAAAAATGGTTTAAAACCAGTTTCTTATTCAGTTTTCTATGACAAATCAGAAAAACTAAGTTAGAAGATTCTATCTTGTAACATATTTAAAAAGAAAAGGAATCTATCAAAAGTTCTCAAATTATCAGTTTTCGACATCTTCCGAATTTTTTCAATTTTTCGACCGGAAGAAAGGTTTAGGAAAACGCAAGGCACACATATTCTTGACCGCCTTGAAATTCTCTATCGAATGGTGTATAAAAATCAAAAAAAAAGTTTTTGTACTGAATTTTTGCTTTGTGTGCGCCTTACTTACCTGAACAATTTTAATTTTCAATTTATCAATATATTACTCAAATCATACTTTTTGAAATATTAACTACACAAAACGAAAAATCATTCCTTTAAATGATACAACTCGTTACAATTGAAATAATGTGTTTCCATAATGATAGTATACCTCATCGTATAGTTTATGTTTTTTTGGTTTATGGATGTTCTATTTTTAAATGTATATTTTGTGTAATATTTGATGAGGCCTTTTGCCAAGTTATGGCAGAATAACTAATGTGTGTCTAAATCAAATCTTCGTCTATGCGAGAATATATTCAAAAATCATTAAAAAATCTCGCAAATTTTATAGTAGATCTATTTTATTCTCAACATTTTACATGTAAACATTTCGTACAAAAAAGTATTTGTTTAATTACAACTCATTATCGTCTAATTTATCAACTGAATTCTTGCTTTGTACGTTACCGCTGGTAAATATATATTCGACTAAAATTAACATGAACGCAGTAGATGATATAAAACAATGCATTAGATATAGTCAAGAATCACGAGTCATTTTTAAATATTCGAATAGACAAGAAACTAGAATACCATTCGAGAGAAGCTCGATTAGAGAAAGACGATTAACTACATGAGTCTCAAAGAACGGGTAGCGCATAATACTTGTAATAAAATTCTTGCCTTCTCTTAATATACTGCTCAATATTTTAAGCTCCGTTCTTACATTCACATCCAAGATAGTTCGTATTTCTCCTGTAACACTTATGACTAGTTGTTTTGATTCAGCGAAGATGAATAAATTATCACAATAAATGAAGAATATAAAATTAGCTTTGTTATGAAAAAACTAATGTAGCCAACAGAGATAAAAAAAAATATGTGACTATTTTAGTACCTATGACCTAGTACCAGTCACAATGGTCACGCTGGATACTAGTACTGACCATCTGAGTACGTGTACGTATTCGCACTTCCCAGCTCAACCTTGTCCATTTGAAATTTTCGTATATATCGGTCATTTGGCATCATTATTCAGTTGAGTCATTACTAAGACTATGAAACGTGATTATTTTCATCGACAACACATTTTCACTGGAAATAACCTGTCATGATCAGTATGTCATCGATAGATCTATATAAATCATAGGTTTTTTTTTTATTGAATATGAGATTCTCTTATGCTTTCGAAGTTCAATATTGAAACTATTTATTTTATTGAATTAATGCATAAAACAAGAACAACATTCTAAACGAAGAATAATTTCTTCAAAATCACGTTTTTGTATTTGTTTGATCAATTGAATATTTTCATTTGTTTTCGATAATATTGCTTCCTTATTTGACGTTAATGATATCTTTTCAAGTTCAAATACCCAATTGATATATCGTTGAAGTTCTTCTTTCGATATATGTGGATCAACAAGTTCTACAGCTTGTTTGAATTGATTAATTGATATTAATCTTAAAAAAAAAATAGAAAAAAAAAACAAACACAACATCAAAATATCTTTTTCTTATAACGCACTAAACTTACGGATATCCGATCAGTAGATCTTTTATTTTTTCAATATATTCAATTTTATCTAATTTTAACTGTTGACGTATAGTCATCAGAAATTCTCCTATATGACCTTCATCATCTTCCGTAAATAATAATAAAAATTCTAAATCATTTCTTTCTTTTGATGATTGTTTTAGATCTCTTTCAGCTGCAATAATCAAAAGTGATATACGTTCATTTGTCCAATTTGGATAAAGTTCATGAAGAGCAGTCACCAAATCGGACCATCGAATTGTTGACAATAACTTAAGTAATAAAATAAAATTAAAATAATAGTCAATAAAGAATTGCAGTCGTAATATTTTTCAAAATTTCTTTCTTATTATAATGCATTTTATAGAGATTTTTATTTTTATCATTTCACAAGATATGAATGTTAACAAAAAATTTACATACTGAAATGAAAATTATGTAGCTAATATCGCATGAAGGTTTCGATTAAATCTTCTCCACTTCTCCACAGAATAAAAGTTCACTCTATTCGAACAAGGGCTAAATAGGAATGCAAATCATCGAATAGATTAATTCATTACTTTTCACTTTTTAGTTGAGATTTCTTTCGTTTATCTGATTTCATTTGTTCTCAATGATTCGTATTAACGAACAAACGAGTTTCTTTCATAAGCCAAAAAATGTATACACATAGACACTAATGAGAGACAGTTGTACAGAAACTTGGAATGCCAGTAAGAGATGAGTACAATATCCATTATTGAAAAATTTATTAGATCTGAATTATCTACTCAATACAAAATGAGAAGTCTTAATTTGGTAGAAAAGGGTATAGTTTATAGTTTTTTCAAGATAATTGAAATAAATTTCCTTATGTTTCTGAAAAGCACATAAGCTTTTTAGATGACATCGCTTGGCAAAACTGTATAATATGTACGGATTGATTAATGATGAACGAATCATAAAACTATAGTGGCCTTAGATTAATTCCGGCTTCTTCGATTGATGACGCCGTTTCAAAGAAAATATCTGGATTTTATCAAAAATAGACTACAGACTTTCCAGATACAGGAATCCAAATCTACAGGAGATTTGTCAAAATTTTTGGGTTCGAATATTCCGTTCGAAAAAGGTTCGATCATATTTTATAAAATTCAACTATTTTCTTGAAATAGACCTTCGCTGACCGAAATAGTAGAAATGACTCTAAAATCATCGTAGTTTTATTATACATTCACTATCTTCATTGTTATTCGATGTCTAAATCGATCTGCCGTTTCGATGACCACCATCGCCGTTACATCCCTATTTCTAGTTTTTTGTCTTTTATAGTTATGTGTTAATGCTTGAAATATATTTGATAGATTGAAGATAGTTCGCAATGTATATAGGCCAGAAAAAAGAATGAAAAATGTTTAAATTTTCGATTGAGAATGAACGAAGGGTTTCTCTTAAGAATAGTTCGTTACATACAGATTGCGATGAAGAATGTGGACATAATTTAATTAAATATTGAAGAATACGAGCAAATTCTTTCATTTCATAATAATAAACATTTTCTTCGATTTGTCCAGTTAATATTTGCCAAAATAAATTTATTTCATATCGATTTTGATATCGATTACATGCATCTTTTATATTATAACAGATTTCAATAGCTATTTCTTTACTATTAAATCTTTTTGTTAAATAATCAAATACATAATCAGTTAATTTAATATTTGTTTTTTCTTCAAGCTAAATATATAAACTATTATCTTTGAAAATATATTAAAATTATATCATAATATACTCTATTTTCATCAAATAATTTATTTGACCAAATTTCTTTAATAAGTAAACTAGTTATTCGTCGACGCATATGTCTATTTTTAATAAATTTTTCTTCAGAAGATATATCTATGCATAATTGTTCAATAAACATATTTTTTTGACTTAACTCCTAAATACTTAAATTAGTCATAAACATTAGATAAAACCTAAACAAATACATTTTTATTATTAATCATCATAGAAAAATATTCTGTATCTTTCTTTTCCATATTTTCATGATTTATTTCATTAATTAATATATCAACTAATTGTTCACTTGTTTTGCCCAATGATAAATTTTTCCATTGTGTTATAAGATGAGAACATTTATTCCAATCAGGTCTGAATAACAATTTAATTTATTTACGATATACAAGAAAAAAAAACAGCATTAATATTTTAATCCCTTATAAAAAGCTTAAAGAAATCTAACAATCCTATACATTTCTCGAAGATTTGATCATCTCTAATTTATATTAAAATAATAAAATTTCGATAAGATTTGTTTGTTATAATATGTGACAGTACTATTAAATTACATTTTTCTTGGTATTCACTTTGTTCCCCTTGTCTAATGCCTAACCATCTATTTCTATCAGGATATACAAGACATAGTAGCGTTAGAACAAAGAAAGAAATTCAGAAACAACTTCAACAAGTTGTTTCTTCAAGCAAGTCTTCGAATTAGGCAACATCTATTTTTGGTTATTCGACTTAATCAAACAAAATCTAAGTGATCATAACGTTGTTGCATCGTGCTGTAAACCAAATCATGAATGCCGATTATTTAATATATTTAACGAGATAAAGATTTATTCCTTTATTTTGCTTTACTGCTACTCGTTTTTGCATATCCTAATATGTACAGATGGTTAACCACTACAGAAAGAGAACATCAAGAAGAGGATACACATCCAGAGGCGTCCTGAGTTCCCAAACATTGGAGAGAATTGATGAATCAAGAGTTCGATCGAAAGATTTTTTGCAAAATTTGATTAGATTTTTGGGTGGGAAGTTGAACAAAACGGGAATTCCTCTGGATAAAATGTGATCAAATATTACCTTCACATATTATGATCAACAGCTATTATCAATATTTTATTGTTAATAGATTAGTTGAACAATGATCAAGCATCAAAAAAAAAAGTAGAATATTATTTTTACTATCAGGCTATATAATAGAGAGGAAATTTCTTTAAATTTTTTCTAAAGAATTAAAATGCCGTTGCCATTACTTTTAGCATTATCCTAAAAAATTTNTTTGGGTGGGAAGTTGAACAAAACGGGAATTCCTCTGGATAAAATGTGATCAAATATTACCTTCACATATTATGATCAACAGCTGTTATCAATATTTTATTGTTAATAGATTAGTTGAACAATGATCAAACATCAAAAAAAAAAAGTAGAGTATTATTTTTACTATCAGGCTATATAATAGAGAGGAAATTTCTTTAAATTTTTTCTAAAGAATTAAAATGCCGTTGCCATTACTTTTAGCATTATCCTAAAAAATTTATAAAGCTTCTCTTACCGTGGAGTTAGAATATTTCTACTAAATTCCCATTCTGAATAATAATTATCTCGTTCTATAAGAATTTCAGTTGTTTGATCAATTAAAAATCTGTAGATAAAATTTACATATATATTTCAAAATAAAATAATTCTCACTTGCAATTATCAATTAATTCTAGAAAATTAGTTCTTAAAAAACTTGTTTCATTTTTTAAATTATCACATTCAAGTTTTAATTTATCAAAATCTTCACGTAATTCAACTTTAGTATCTATACAAGACAAAAACAAAAGCTTTTTTCGTTTCATTGAAAAAAAAAGAGCGACTTACAAGCACATTCTGTATCAATCAAGGATTTAATCCAGATAAGAAGCTGCCTACGACATTGCCTAAAGTCATTAAAAAAACATACCTCTTAAAATTAAAATAAAAAAAAAGCCTTTTCTTTCACATTAGTAAATTGCTATGCATTCAAGCTGATACAAGAACACTCTCGATTATTAAATTATTTTATTCAATAATATTTGCTAATTAGATTTTTAAAACTACGTCATACAGAATAGTTTATAAATTATGAAGAAATCTTGGCTTCATTTTGAGCTTAACCCTTTACAGCCGAAGGGACTTTTTCTTACAACAGGAGGAAGCTAGTCACAAAAATAGAGATTATAGACCCTCAGTATACTCATACTATAGCTAAAAAGAATTTTCTTGCTCTTGTGTCAGAGATACACAATGCCCTTTAGAGGACATATCCGACCTTGTAAAAAATCGAAAGATAGTTATTTCGATCTGAGATTTTGTCCATAAGTAGGTTTCACAGTCCTCAACACACCCTGAAATTTTCACGCAAAATGGATGCTTTCTTGTTGAGATATTTGATAATCAGAAAACCCGGCCACATTTTGCAAAAATTTGCTCAAAACCGACTTTTTTGCAACATTCTGTATCTCGAGAAGAAAATAACCGTAATTGCTGAAAATTTCATGGCACTCTAAGTATCATTAGAGCTACGTATGAACAATGTTTCAAATTAAAATTCCTTTATTTAGATTTTTCTATGAGGCTGAATATCCCATCCAAGGAACATTTTCTTTGTGATGGCATAATTTGCCAGTAAATCGGTTAAAAACTGATGGAACGGTTTCATCAGATACCATGATGCTATGTTTAAGGATATTCCGTAATATAAACAAGGCTGGACGTTGCATTTATGATTAAACAAAAATTTAGGGAAAACAAGTGACATTAAAAAAATCGTCAGTCGTAAAAGATCTATTGTTCCATCTGATAGTCACTTGAAAATTATATTTTGATCTCGGTATCACCTCTAAGATCCTCTTAGTCCAGAAAAATATTGGTTTCTTTATACAAGGTCTTATTAAGGTTTTTATTGCAGTTATTCAAATGTCCCTTGGAAGGGACATTCGGCTTTAAAGGATTAATAGTGAATTGAAAAATATTTCTATTTAGTTTTTTTTATACTATTAAATAGAATCTATCGATCATGATGTGTAGATTTATATAATTAATTATTGGTCGATATTTATTATTACTATTCTAAAGCTTTTCTGAGATCAATCGAAATATTACAAATAGATTGAACAAGCAATTCTTTGCTAGATAATATTGTTCTTCAAAACAAGGATAAATTGAAGTCAAATAAAATATGATGCTACTGAAAAATATGTTTCGATATAAATAGAAAGATTGTTCCCATTTCATTTTCAAACAAAAATAATGCTTTATTTAACTTAAAGTAGATGAAATTGTTACTTAGAAACACGAAAGTGATTAACAAAATCGATTTCTGTTTGATATTCATTCGGAAAGTCAATCTTTACTTTAATTTGTATTATAATTGCGTGTATAAGACATTGTTTGATATCTATAGTGGAATTCTAAATAATGAGTTCTAAAAGTTTTCGAAATATTCATTATTTAAAAATTTTCTTAATCCTTAAAATACAATATCCGATATATATTGATCACTATTTTTTTCTTCATTATTTTTTTATTTATTCCGAATAAATACACTTACAAAAGTGTATAACGAAGTGTAATAATATCTAATCCATATTCATCAGAATCATTATACAAATCTTCATCATAAAAATGTTTTAATACTAAATTATCTTCAATAGAATTTGTTTTTTCTTGCATATTGTAAATGAAAATAGATCTAAATACACCATCTAACATAGATGTCGTGAAATAAAAAATTTTTTAAATTTTAATTCGAATTTAAAATAATTATTTAATTTCAATGTTTTATTTTATTTTCTAAATATATTTTTATATCAATTTATGAATTAGTATTCTCATTCCACACGTTGAATTCTGATAGGTTTATCTAATATAATGTCATCCAATCATTCGTACACACCCCATGCTCTGTTGTTTGCTACTTGATTCGTCTGTCTTCTATAAAATAAAAGTAAGACAAAAAAAGTAATATCTGTTCATTTCTAGTATTTTGAAGCATCATGATTCGTTTAACATACTCATTACTTATACTCGCTTTTGCTGTCACTGTTTATTCAACAGATTATTTTGTTGAAAAATTTGAAGGTATATATTATATTATAGTTTTGTTCTTTTATTATATTTTTTATTCTTGAAGATGAAAGTTATAAAAATCGATGGGTACAATCAGCAGCAAAATCTGATTTAGGTGAATTTAAATTATCTCATGGTAAATTTTATGGTGATGCTAAAAAAGATCTTGGTATGTTTTATGAAATAAATTAAAAGAATAAATCGAAAGAATTCTTTTTTTTTTTTTCTTTTCAAGGTCTTCAAACAACACAAGATGCTCGTTTTTATGCTCTTTCATCTAAATTTGATTCATTTTCAAATGAAGGAAAAACTCTTGTTATTCAATTTACCGTAAAACATGAACAAAAAATTGATTGTGGTGGTGGTTATGTTAAAGTCTATCCATCAGATACTGATCAAAAAGAACTTACCGGTGATTCACCGTATAATATTATGTTTGGTAAATAAAAATTTATTTATTAGTGTTTCTGTCTATTGTATTTTCATTATTTCATTTTGTTAGGTCCTGATATCTGTGGTTTTGATAAAAAGAAAGTTCATGTTATTTTTACATACAAAGGAAAAAATTTATTAATTAAAAAGGATATTAAATGTAAAGATGATGAATTTACACATCTCTATACATTAATTCTTAATCCTGATAATACATATGAAGTTCGTATTGATGGTGAAAAAGTTGAAAGTGGAAAACTTGAAGAAGATTGGGATTTTACTGTACCAAAACGAATTCCTGATCCAGAAGCTAAAAAACCACAAGATTGGATTGATGAAGAAAAAATTGATGATCCAACTGATACAAAACCAGAAGGTATATTTAAAAAAAAAAAGAAAATCATACATGTTTGTTTTTTTCTTCTCTGTCTATTATTAGATTGGGAAAAACCAGAACATATTCCTGATCCTGATGCTAAAAAACCTGAAGATTGGGATGATGAAATTGATGGAACATGGGAACCACCAATGATTGATAATCCTCAATATAAAGGTGTATGGAAAGCTCGTCAAATTGATAATCCAACTTATAAAGGTCCATGGATTCATCCTGAAATTGATAATCCTGATTATGTTGATGATCCAAATCTTTATTTATATAAAGATATATCAATGATTGGTTTTGATTTATGGCAAGTTAAATCTGGTACTATCTTTGATAATGTTATTATCACAGATAGTGTTAAACGAGCTGAAGATTTCGGTAATGAAACATGGGGTAAAACAAAAGATGCTGAAAAGAAAATGAAAGATGCACAAGATGAAAGTGAAAGAAAGAAAGAAGAAGAAGAACGAAAGAAACGTGAAGCTGGTATGTTATTTTATTAATTAAATAAAAAAAATTTTATTTTCTATTTTTTTTTTAGAAGAAAAAGTTAAAAAACCAACCGATGATGATGATGATGCGGATACGGATCATGGTAAATCAACTCATGTACATGATGATGAATTATAACTGATAAATTAAATACATTTCCAGTCATTTTGTATGACTTAGTTTAAATCTTTCTTTTCTTTGTTTGTTCCCTTTATTATTGTGTTATTTTGGCACCGATATAAACATCGTTTTGCTTGTTTGTGTGAACGTATCTATTATATGCTTTGTTTTTTGTTTTTTTTTTATACGTCGCTGTTTATGGATTAAGTACAAAATATATGCTGATGATGAGTCATAATATGTTATTACGAAATTTTAATGTAATGAAAGCAATATATATATATGCTCCCTAGATGTGTAAAAGAACAGAGAAAATGGAGTGTAAAGATAAAGAGTTGAATCCTGCTGAGCATGAAGAAGAAATATTAGTGTTGAAGTCCATATTTAATGAAGATTTCGTTTTACTTGATAATGAAAATGATCAATCGACATTTGACCTAATTATTCGTTTTGATTCATTACCAAATAAAATTCTTCTCATTCATGATGAATCCACTATATCAACCGAAATTTTTCATTTACCACCTATAACTCTTCATATTACTTACAAAAAAACCTATCCTAAAATAGATTCACCATTGTATTGTATTAAATGTGATTATTTAACATGTGATCAACTCTTATCATTAACAAATCAAATGGATAAAATGTGGAAATCAGGTGAAGTTATTGTTTATACGTGGATTGAATTTTTAAAAGATTATTTTTATAATTTAAATAATCAACTTATTCTTTTTGATATTAAATCATCAATCGATGATAAACGTTTTTTAACTAATTATGATAAAATTGGATCGAAACAAATTTATGAACAATTAGTTTCATATAATCGAATACAAAATCAATATGAATTCGAACAAGCAAATCATATATGTCCAATTTGGTGAGAAAAATCCTTTTTCTTCATCATCAATCTTTATTATTGTTATTTTAAATCTTTAGTTTAGAAGAAAAATCTGGAAAAAATTTTTTACAATTTGAAAAATGTCATCATTATGCTTGTATTTTTTGTTTAAATTCTCATGCAAAAGAATATTTATCTAATATTCAACACAAGAAACCAATAAATTGTTATGAATGTGATTCACCATTATATCAATCTGAACTTCGTCGAATATTTTCTGATAATAAATTATTATTAAAATATCAACAACGTTTATTAGAACAAACTACTGATATGGTATGGTGTCCACGTTGTCATCATGCAATAACATGTACACCATCAGAAAGTAAATCAGGCAATCATCAATCATTTGTTGAATGTTTTTATTGTCAATTTACATTTTGTCGACGATGTCAACAAAGTTGGCATCCACAAATTCAATGTCCTAAAGATGAAATTCTTCAAGATATTAAACAAAATTTAAATTCTAATGAACAAAAATTAAATAAAATTCAATTAAAAAACCTTTTATTAGAAATTGAAACTATTCAAACAATTGAACAATGTACAAAACCTTGTCCATCATGTAATGTTCGAATTGAAAAAAATGGTGGTTGTCAACATATGAATTGTCGAGCATGTCAAATACATTTTTGTTGGACATGTGGATGGTATGGACGTGCTTATAGTCCACATCCGTGTGAAATAAAACCTGACAAATCACAGGTATCACTTCCATTGGATATGAATGAAAAATTTCAACAAATATTACATGATGAAAATGGAAACCAAATTCAACATGATATTGTTAAACGAATACAAATATGTCCAAGAGAAAATTGCCGTCAAGCTCATATTAAAGTTGGAACAAAGAATACGCTTACATGTGATAAATGTGAAACTATATTTTGTTTTGTATGTGGAGAAATTGTTTATGGAAATTTTCATTTTTCGGCATATGGTTGTAAAGCTAATACTCGACTTTAATATTTTTTCAATAATCAGATTTTTTTTTTATTTTTATATTAAAATAATTCAATGGCATGACATAAATATAAATAATGAATCAATTAGTTATGAGATAAGCTTCGCATATACATTCAAAGTAGTAAGCAATGTTTTACTTGTACGTTTTTTTTTTAAAACAACTTTTTCAGGTTACAAAAAATGGCGAAAATCGAAACTGTTAAACTCGCTATTTTTTGTCGTTCCCTCAGACAGTAGAGATCTTGGAAGAAATTATGATCATTTATTAACAGAGAAAAAATAATCCTTAAGGTGGGATGATGGGGAGTACAGTAAAATTTAATGCAGTAATGCACCGTTTTACAAGTTGTTTTCCGATAGATGGAATAATCATCTTAAATCTTACATTGTATTTTTTTTTGGCATATTTTTATATTCTGTTTATTCCTGGGTGCTTTTGATTCTCATTTTCGGGTTTTTAAATAAAGAAATGATTGTTATTGATTACAAAAAATAGCTAATCTAGTAATGTTTTTTTCTTGTGATTCCTTTCGTATTTTTTGTTCGCAAAACAAAAACCAATGAAATTATTGGAATTATTTGCAATATTTAAATTGCTATTTTATGAGTAAAGGCTGTATTTTATCTATGCTTTTCACTATGGCTTGACTTTCGACCTTGGACACTTGGATAGATATGAGGTAAAAAAGAGGACAGGTATCAAGTACTAGATAACAAAATATAGTTTTATCTGATCCAAAAGAAACAAGTTCGAATTTGTTTCGGAAAAATTTGTTAATTTAAGAATTTATCAGTTTTTATGTTATCCACTCAAAATGAAATTAATGGAATTTAATGAAAAGTGTACTCCATATGAATGAAATATATGAGGGTTTTCGATGCATATCGTCGATAATCATTAGATAGGAATGATCCAGATTCTTTCTCTATGATGTCATGATAACCTATAAAAGTGTAATCTGAAGTCAGAAATTGAAATCAGTTACAAAAGAAAAAATAAGTTATTGAATTCTATCGTTGAACTTAATTTTCCGGATCTTTTAAACGATAAACACATGTGTATAAACTGATATTTCATCATATGTGGATGTGACAAATAATTGATAATATACTAACGATTGTACAAACATGTGAAACTTTCTCATCCTTGTATCACGAGAAATGAGCTAAGATTAAAAAAGTTATATTTTACGAATTCTCATAAAAATACTTTTACTAAATATTTTACTTTAAGATTAGTTAATCCTTGACACCCTGTTGAGTTATTTCTTGACCTATTCATAATGAGTGACATAAAAAATGTTTTTTCTAGAATTATTTTATTGTCGATATAAAGTCATAATTAGTATGATTTTCATGCTAAAAACTTTTATAGAACTAAAAATCCGTCAAAACAAAAATTTCTACTGCCATTTTTAAGTAATTTCATATCGATAAAAGATAAAATTTTGTAGCTTATATTGTGGCTCTTATTTTGCACTAGAATTTAACAACAGAAATAAATAATTTCGAATTAAAATCAAAAATAATAATTCAATATTATAAAAAGAAAATGAACGACCAAATTTCAATCAGAAAACAGTCACTTTTGCAAATGCCTAACTATATATCATTTGTTGAAACGACTCATTTTTCAAAAACTAAATAATTATGCGTAGGTTTTCACATTTATAAAGATAAACTAACAGCGTAACTACAAAAAAAAAAAAGAACGCAAAAAAGTTTAAATTAGAAATTCATTCAAGATATATAAATCATTTCTGCATCTCTACAGTCAAATGACGTTATTCAAATTTAACCCCATATCATTGTCGCAATCAGCTTTTTGCATAGGTTATTCTCGTGTTTGACTAAACAAGTAGCGACTATACTTCTTCTTTCATGCATCGTTTCGTACTGTTTACGTATCACCATATGAAAATTCTGGTTATTACCTAAACTAGGTAACCGTCAGAATCCATAAAACGGTTTTTCAAAGTGCATAAGTGTGTAATCGTAGAGGATTGGTTATGGTTTTAATTATTTATTTATTTAGCTTGATCGATTTTCTTTTTTTTCGTCAAGTTTTTGTTGTTTGTTTTTTTTTAGAACTTACATAGTTGCTTTTTCTTTTTTTTCGTGTGTGTTTCGTGTGTTTACAAATCTTGTTTTTTTTCCCATCTCTTTTTTGTTTGTTTGTTTGTTTGTGTGTGACTATCGTGATTAAATGTCGTCCGATCAAGGTGTTTCTTCTTCAACAAACAGCAATAGTACTGGTTTTCAACCAATACGTCAAAATTTGGATAATATAGCACAAGCATTTGAAAATCCAATTCAAATGTTTACTATGAAACAACAATTACCAATGGCATCACCAATAACTGGTACTATTTATACAGGTCCACCAGCAAAATATTTAAATAATAGCAATAATTATATGAGACCAATGTTACCACCACAAAAATATGTCACATATAATGGATCATCAATGCAACAACGTAGACAAAACAATAATGGAGTTGATAATGCAACGAATGATTCAGTCAAGTATATGATTAATTTTTTTTTAAATTTGTTTTTGTTTTTTGAATAATTAAATGAGGATTATTTAGTAAAAGAAAAGTTTTTGTTGGTGGTCTTAGTCCAGACACAAAAATGGGTAAGAAAGGCTTTTTACGTTCTTGAATTCTTTAATTTATAATTGTTTTGTTTTTCAGAACATCTTCGTGAATATTTTTCAAAATTCGGCGCTGTTGAAAGTGCAACTGTTAAATATGATAAATCAGGTCGGTCAAAAGGTTTTGGTTTTGTTCTTTTTGAAGATCCCGATACACCCAATAAAGTAATTAATTCAATTATATTTTTCTATTTATTTTTATTACTTTAAAAAAGGTTTATTCCCAAGATGTGCATATAATTCAAGGCAAACGTGTTGATACAAAATCTGCACATCGTCGTGATCAAGCATTAGCTCGTAAAGTATTTGTTGGTGGTTTAGATACCGAAATAACAGATGCTGAATTACGAGAATATTTTTCTCAATTCGGAATGGTTTGTTTCATTTGATTAAGTTCTAAACTATGTCGAAAAAAAAAATAAAGTGTTTTTCTTTATTTTTCATCATCTTTAGATTGCACAAATCGAAGCACCAATTGATAAAATAAAACAAAAACGTCGTCCATTTTGTTTTATACTTTTTGAAAATGAACAAAGTGCTGAAGAAGTACTTAAACAACCTCGACATACATTAGCTGGGAAATCTATTGATTGTAAACGTGCAAATCCAAAAAGTTTGGAAAATAATCAACAAAATACAACGATGATGCAACAACCATTGACACATTATAATGTGCCAAGTTTAAATCAAAATCTATTTTCATATCAACCACGTAAATGAAATGAAATTTTTATTTTTCTAAAAAACTAGAACGACTTTCTTTAGAACAACGTTCACAACAACAATTACAATATCAACAAGTGGCACTTGCTACTCAACAACAACATTATCCATTTTATAAGTAAAACTTTTGAATTAAGAAATTCAAGTTACACATTTATACTTTTTCTTTTAGTCAACAAACAAGTCAACAAGGTCAAAATCGTACACAATCAAATCGACAACAATTACAAGCAAATAATCAACCATGGTCACCAATAAGTCCTGCTCAATGGCAAAATCCTAACTATGGTAAAAACAAGTTTAAAGACAAACTTTTTTTTTTTTTATTAAATTTTCTTTTCTTTTATTTAAGCCGATCCTCGTTCGTATAGTTCCTATGCTCCTTCATCAGCATCTGCTTCAAATGCAACATGGCAAGTTGGTCCTCATCCACAAGCTAATTCATATGGCCAAGGGCGATCACAATCGGGTAATTCAATCAATACATCTGCTGCTACTTCTAGTTCAGCACAATATTCCTATCCGGGTTGGAATTATAATCAAGCACAAGCTTCTCAAGGGCCAACAAATCAATATAATTATGGAACTGATTCATCAAGTGGTCCACCGAATGCCTTTGCATACCAAGCACCAACTGGTTATGATCATTTTTCGTCCGAATCAGTACCTCCACCCAATTACAATCGTTAATAAAACAAAATAAAAAGGAGCTAAGATACTGTACAGTTTGTCTTCCCTATTTCCTAAAATATGCGTGTGTGTGTTTTGATCGTTGTTGTTTTTTTTTCCTATCTCATATATCTGTGTGATGCAGAGATATTATTTAAAAAAAAAGAAAACGTTTTTGTATTATTTTTTGTTTATCGAGCATCATCATCTCAGATATTTTTGACGTTAGTTTTTCTTTTGTTTTTATGTTATTAAACAAAGATCTTGTTTGTTATTGTTGTTTGATATTCACCGGTTTTTTGGATATTTACTAAACACAGTATTCTTTTTTTTCTTTTGCGTTTTGTTGATCTTGTTTATAAACGAGCATATATACGCACACACGCTTCTACAAACCCTACGTTTTTTCCTTCTTTTGTTCTTCACAAAGACTTTTTTTGCTGGCTATTTGATTGGTGTAAGAACAAAGTTCGAATAAAAAAAAAGAAGAAAAGATAAAAAGACAATGATTATTGTTTTGAAGTTAAAAGATAACATGAAAAAAAAAACGGATTTTCTTATACAAGGATAAATTTTTTTTGTTCATATTCGATACTTGTCGACCAAGATGGCAAGGTCATCACTTTTTTTTTTCTAATGCGAAATAATGCATATGCATGCTTTATGAAGCCTTGGTTACCCAAGCAAGTGCAGACTTATTACTTCACATATATAGGGAATTCAGTGAAGTGGAACATTCATTTTTTTTTCTGTATACAATCATAATTACTATGTAGGACATCCTCAATAAAAACTGATTATCAATCGCGGTTAGATCAGAACTGAAAAATCAATGGGTATCGGTGGTTCACGTCGTAAATCACCTCAAGCTCCTTTTCCACAATCAATACCACCATATAATCCGTTATCGCCGTATCCTGCTGCGCCAATGATTCCTCCATATAATGCTGGTATTGGAAATGTTCCACCTCTTAACCAAAAAGAGCAACAAAAACTTGAGGAAGCTTATCGAACAATTCAAAATTATCAGGGTCGAATGCCTCCAATGCAACAAGGTGCTGGAATAGGTCCTCCTATAATGAACTTATCAAATGCAAGTCCTACCCTTCAACGTGCATATAGACAATATTCATCTCCAAATCAACCACCATTTCTACCGAATGCTGGAGGTTATCGAGATACGGATTATGCATCTCTTGCTAATATAGCCGGCTTGAATCCCGTAGACATAGCAATACTTCATAGAGAATATATGAATTTAACATCTCGTGGTAGAAATAAACTTGATCGTGTTGTTTTTCGACAATTGTTACGTGATATTCTTATTGATGCAAATAATGAAAATATTGATCGAGCTATTGAAAATATATTTATTAGTATTGATCGAAATCGTGATGGTTTTATTGATTTCTCAGAATTTGTCGGTGCTTTTCGAGATGTATTAAAAGGAGATCCAAATGATCCAAGCAGTTATTTAGCACAATGTGGTTTTCCTGATTTTATAAATGATCAAATACGAACATATGCTGTTAATTCTCCTCTTATTTGTCAACCAGCAGCAATTTGTGAACAACAACAACCGCCACCTCCGCCACAAGTTATTTCAATGCCACCTGCTAATGTTCAACAACCAATGGTTTGTAGTAGCTCTGCTGCTCCATTATTATTTTCATTTGATTCAAATCAATCACCATATGTAGCTAATATGCAAGGTCAACAAATGATAGGGCAACCAACAACTTTACAATGTTTACCTTTGTCTATGTAATATGACTTATGACTTGTCTTCTTTTTTGAATCTAGTCAAAAAGAAGATTCTTTTGTTTTGTTTTCTGTACGAAAGAAAAGTAAACAATCATTTAATCGATACGTTTTATGTACTCAAGAAAGATTTTTTTGTGGATTAATTAATAAACTTTTTTTATATAAAGTAAGGAAAAAAATTTTAGTACACTTTTTAGTTTTTGAATTGCCAATCAAGGTTAACCTATTCAAGATATTCGACTAGTGATTTCAATAGTGCTCAGAGTGACCCAGGAAACTGATATCGAAATATTTTTCAAAGCATAATTATTTTTTCTTTTATTACTGTCATGACCTTCAGCCATGATACCACATGCTTTGTATTTTGTTTATTTCTTCTGAGTCAGGATTCTTTGAGTCATGAACATGGGATGCTTGACTCAGGAGTCTTGGCTCAGAAATATATATATATACTCGAGTTTTGTGAAAAGTGTGTGCTCTCTCCCTGTACATCTTCGATTGTCATCTGTGCTTCATTCTTTCTGCTGGTTTTATCTGATTGAAATACAAATTAGTCTTCACAATTACGTAAAAAATTTTCCTCCAGCGAAAAAAACTCGACCACATTTTCAATATTTAACCAATGTTTTCATTAGGGTGTAGGTGCGGATGGGTGTGACAGAACAGAAATTTCACAGCGACGTCCACCCCTCCATCCCCCCTCCCCCCCTTCTCAATCACACCTACACCCACACTCTATTATAGACGAGGCATTCTTCGATGATTCATGCAATAAAACTTTCGATACAAACGATTTTATAAAATTTTAATCAGAACTTTTCGTCAATCCTAAGTATTTCAGAATAGATCATCTGAGTGAGATTTTTCAATGTGTTTTCAACTTCAATGAACAAGAGCTTTAAATCTGACAAAACTAATGGGTTTTGAATAGCAGAATTTGCTCTTTCAAATCGCATGCGCTGCTTTCTGTACGATATTCCATTCAAATGTTATAGTATCCTTAGTTTTAAGAAATAGTTTGAGCTATAATTTGCAACCATTTTCCTGTTATTTTGCGTTTCATAATTTGAAAGCATTGCAACATCTGAATGGAAGATTAAACAGAGAGCAGTGACATACATATCATTTGAAAGAGCAAATTCTGCTCTTCAAAATACACTGGTTTTTGTCAGATTTAAAGCTTTGATGCATAGGTGAGCTTAATAAAAATAATAAATACTATGATTAATTGAAACCGAAAACACACTGAAAATCTCACTAAGATAATTCATTCTGAAATGGTAATATTATTCATTCTTTTATTCTGTTTCATATGAGATAGTTGAAAATTGAAAATAAAATATTACGAACTAACCACTTAGTCTTAATAATCAATTCATATTTCAACATGAGATAAAGTGCTTTGTATTAAGATGTAACCCATTAAATTCTGTCTTGAATGAAATAATAAAACAAATTTCGGTTAGTGATTAATAATGAAAACATTTGCTAAATATTAAAAATATTCTCGAGTTTTTTCACTGGAAGAAAATTTTTTACATAATAAAAGGTAAAATAATTATACTTTGAAAAATGTTTCCATATCAGTTTTGTAGGTGGCTCTGAGCACTATCGAAATCATTATTCAAATATCTTGAACTGATTAACCTTGATTAACCCTATTCAAAAACTAAAAAGGGTGCTAAAATTTTTTTTCCTTAGATTAATGTTAACTATTTATATTTTACAGTTCTTTTACCAATAAAAACAATGTGAAAATAGAAGATTCAATATGATTGTAAGGATAAATTATTAGAAGAATAATTAATAGAATCAAATTAGTGGCGTAACCAAGGGTGGTCAAGATCCAACGGCATTCAGTCGTCAAAAGAAACAAAAACGTAATAATAACCATTATTACGTTTAATGTTGCAAGAATTTCATTCAAGATCGTGAGACACTATCCTAACATCTGTGATCTCTTGGTTACATTGCAAAGGATCATGATAATTCTTTTTAATAAATTCCTCATTATGAAATCAAGAAATTTAATCAATTGAAATAATAAAATGAACAATTTTTGTATGACTCGAGAAAAAGAATTGTCTATCTAATTTGTTTGCTATGTTCTATTAAAATATAATTTAAAAAATGACGAGGAGGGATAATATTGAGTTAGTATCTCAATCATCTTAATCAAATATATACATTATAATGGATTGAATAACGATAATCAAGTTAAATTACACTTATTGTGTGATTTATTGACTAAGAAGAGGAGGAGAAAAAAAAAGAACAATGAAGATGATCGATATATATTCTTTCATAAAAATCATTTATTCAATTGAATAGAAAAAGTAGAAGAAACAATGTCAAATCAAAGATTTGTCTTCATAGCTGGATTGATTGGTTTAATCCTACAATTATCATTGGGTCAATTGCCATGTCCTGTCGAAGAAGATCCAGTACAATTAGCTGAATGTGCACAACTTGATGTTCAAGCTATCATTCAAGCAGCTAAAGGAAATTTAAAATTATTTTGTAATTTAGCTGAAAGATATATGGAATGTTTTAAAACCAAAACTCGAAATTGCATTGGTGGATGGGTAATGATCAATATTTTCTTTTTGAAAACAACATTGAAATTTTCTCTTTAGGCAGCTGAAGGTGGTTTTACTGAATTACAAAATTTAGCTCAATGGTGTTGTGTCAATCCAGGTTCTCCCGAACCTGATGAATGTCCACTTCGTCGTAAGTTTTTCTTTATTATTAATTAAAATTAAAATAAATGCATCCGTGTAAGCATACATACAGGCCAATTTCAGCAAGACAACACCGGAAATTGGCTAAGAAGTCTTCGAGTTTTTTCAAGCCATTTCTAACTAAATTCTTGACGTTTTTCTACAGAAAAACGTTAAGAGCATACCGAGTAAATCTAAAGACATTCTGGCTTAGAATGTTACATCCAAATTTCATTGATTTCCGATGTTTTGCATAGAGCTCGTTGCGTTTCAAATTTTCCTTCAATTGAATTTCACTTTGATACTTTCAATGAAATTATCTAATCAAGATTGAATAATCGCCTTGAAGATATGAGACGATCGACTTCGCTAAAAATTCGATTGTTTTCACAATTCGAAATCACTGAACTAATTTTGTGTAATTTTTAGGTAATCCTAAATGTTTTTCGGGTGATGATTTTGTTTCAATGGCCAATGGTGAAAAAAAACTTTTACGTGAACTTCGACCAGGTGATCGTGTATTGGTAATGAATTCACAAAAACAAATTGAAGAAGATGATGTTATTATAATGCTTGATAGTCAACCTAATCGGCCAGGTTTAATATTTTGATTTCAAATATTTTATATTCGTATTTTATATTTAGCTTTATTCTATTCAATTGAAACTGAGACTGGTCATCGTTTAAGTTTAACAGGAAATCATTTTATTGCTGTTAATCATAATGATAATTTTCTTCCTGCAAATCAAATAAAAGCATATGATACAGTTTTTATTCATTCACAAGGTAAACTTCAATCAGTAAAAGTTCGAAATGTTAGTGAAGAATATAAAGTTGGATATTTTACACCAATGACTAGTCAAGGTAAATTTTTTCTTTGAATTAAAAAATTAATTTTTCTAGGTTTTTTCTTTCTTCTTAGGAACATTAATTGTAAATGATATGGCTGCTTCATGTTATTCAAGTGTCGTTAGTCATAATTTAGCACATCAAATGTTAGCACCACTTCGTTGGTGGTATCGTTTTGCAAAACTTTTTGCTGTAGAACAACCATTTGAATATGTACCTAATGGAGGTATACATTGGTTACCAAAAGCAATGTTACAAATGACAGAAAAATATTTACCAAACGTATTAACAACAGAAGTTTTTTAATTGACAATAAATACACATTATCTTCTTATTCAAATAATATTTGATCTTTTTCTTATTTTCTTTAATGAGAAAAATCTATGTTTTATGATTTTATTCTTATCTTAACAAAAAATATGAAGTTCTAATAAATTGAGCCTTGGTCTATGCTTTTATTTCTTGTTATTTAATTCATTTTGATTTCGATACAAGATGAGATGAATCTAAAGGCTCACATATAAAATAATTCAACAGAATATATCAAAAGAAATACGTATTGTCACGCACTATTTTATATGAAGTATTTGTGGAACATGACGCCGTAAATATCTAATTGTAATAAATACGACTAACATTTGCTTCAACTTTAGACTTTAATTGTTGAATCTCATGTGGAGTCATACCAAAACAATGTGTCCGGAAAAATAAAGATGAAAGAAATCAGTCAAAATTCGATAAAGATGAGAGGTAGTCAAACATATGGGTGCCCAGAAACTAGTAGAGGAACCCTATGGCATTTAATTTATAACCGAATGAAGTATATGAATCACAGAATGTATCTTTTGCTCTATTTTTTTTATCGGATATGTATTCACTACGATGAATCCAATTCTTGAATTACATCAGATACTTTTGAAAAAGCTGCAAGATAAGATAAGATCCAGAACAATCCGCCGGCGCATTGCTTAGAATTTGATAGAATTGCATCCAATGCGTTTGATCTCGATAGTTATTTCATTTCTTCTGTTCGTACACGTAGTTAATGAAATGTAGTTCAATAGAAAAAAATACAATGCCTTCGGAAGAATTCTTTCGAAAAAAAAATCTCTTTAACATCATATATTTAGTGGAGGAGGAGGAATAAAATAATAGCGATTTTTGATCGAATGCCCTTAAATGATTTTCTCTAAGAAGTTTCAAGAACCTATGATCAATCTTCGATTTTAACCATTCAAATGTGACACACTTAAAGCATCCCATAAATTTATGGACAAAATGTCCTAGGTCAGATTGAGCTTCAGACTAAGAGAAAGTTATTGTTTTTAGCCAGGTACAAAACAACGAAAGAGTTTTCTTTTGTTTAAAAATAAATTCTTATTTTCGGTTTCATTAAGTCAACATAGTATGTACTTGTTTTTTTTACCTAGACAGAGTATGTATCGTTTTTTACTTTTTGTATTCTACTGTATGCAACCATGACTTCTTCTGCCTTAACATCGGACAATGATCTCCAAAAGTATTTTTATGAACAAGTGAATCAACATTTTAAAAATTTTGGAGTATTCAGTTCCGAGACAATAGTTATTCTTCTATCACAGTAGTTACATAAGGTGTAAAGTCCTTCATGATGTTTCTTCAAGCATAACTCAACAAAACTTAACAATATAATATATTTGTATTTTACATATCACCTATGAACCAAGGTAAATTAGAAGACAAAGAGAAAACGATAACAAAATGCTACTCAAAAACTATGAATTTAAAATTTTTTCTTCTTTCTTTCTCTCTCGGAACTGCCTAAGACAAAACTACATATCAACTGAATACACGAACGAACTCTACAACTTCCCATATTTCACTAGACTTCAACGAAAATTAAATATAATCTAATATAAATATATAAGATTACTTCTTTATTCACATCTTTTTCGATTTTTTGTTATTGTGATATCCTTTAAAAACTCTCTTTAATTTGTCTAAATGTCAACTTTTTCTTTATCCGTCTTAATTAATAATGCCGTATACTTCTTTAGTGAACTCAATCATGATGCTGCAAAATACTATGTGTTTCTATCATCCTTTATGGGAAAAAAAGATTCGAAGAGATCTGTACAATCAACTGTAATTAGTCTCTTTGGTTAAACAAAAATTGAGATATTCGACTATTTGATTTCATACTCATTTATAATTGACATGCATATTCATTCAATATCTACTTATTTATTTTTTGAAACAGATGCATGATTATTTAATGGTTTCCAAGAAGCACTTAATTTACTAGCTGTGTTACAAAAATTTATTAGTTGTGCATCATTATTATTATCTTTATGTTTCTTCTGAGATTTCACAACGAGCACCAGCTAATATACCTACAATCGGTGCACAATAATATTTGTCTTTTCTATGAGCATTTGCAGTTACTTGAGTTGTATTTTCCCATCCATCAACAAAATACAGTGCATCATTGAGTACTGTTGGTGCATACACTACACGTGCTTTTACATCAGGATAAACATAACGACGATGACACAATAATACATTCTGTATATCATTATGAAGACGAGGTGTTGTGAATACTGAATTAACTGCATCACTTTAATCTACATTGTTAATGAGAGAACGACAAATAAGATTTATAATACCAGCTACTTGACCTGCAATTGGACTATAATGAGTTAATTTGGCTTCGAGCATAGTGAAATCAAATAAATCATCATCTGAGATATATTGACAAAAAGCAAGTGGATATGAACGTTGTGCTGGGCTACAAGCAGCTGTATGACCATCGAATTTTTTATCAGCTAATTTAACAATTTCATCAATCATTGATTGATCGAAACAAAAATTTTCAAGAGTAAGAGTCGATTGTGAACCATTACGTTTTATTAATTCCTGATAAATATATTTCGTTATTTCACCAATTTCACATTCTCTTGTATAAAGATGTCTTGACAAAATATCTGGTCCATCAAATTTCTGACATTCAAGAAGATTTTCAGTAACATTTAACGTCATTAATATTGATGGATCTTATTATGATGCAGTATAGCATGTCTAATAAAAGCTCCTTGACAACGTGTAGATATATTCATCATTATTTAAGACAATCTAATATGTACAAGCGAAAATCGAATAAAAGAATATGAATAGTGAAAATAATGGTATTAAGAAAAACAAAAAAATTGAAAATGTTTTTTAGTAAACAGAATGAATGAAATCGATGGAAAAGAACTGATAAGTAGTTTTTTTCTTTTCTGCAGTTGTTGTTTTAACAACAACCAATATTTTTAGAATTAAATAAAAAATGAATCAGAGGTCGAACATCATCATTACCTGTTTAAGTGTCTAGGAGAACATCTCAAAAACATCAACAATTCTAGGAAGATAGATCTCAATAATGTGTAGTTCGATTGAAAAGATGCGTAAACTGTCCCTTGTGTCTGGATGAGTCTTCAAAAAGAGACTATACTATTAAAGAGAGCGATCTAGAATCAATCAAGAACAATACCGAATAATTTACAGATTTCTTCTATGAAAATTTCTAAAGCAAGATCAAAGTAGATTGATCCGCAAATTTCTTGTTTATGAACAATTGTCAAAAGAGATAAAGTAGTATTTGTGTAAGAACCTATGTTGCACGTTTCTTCGTACTACCATGGTTATACTGCGGTAGAATAGCTAACTGTTTATGTATCAAACTACGATCAGTTTTTGCCCGATTGTAATCACATGGAAATACAGTGTTGAAAGCAACACGGTTGAGCATCGTCTACGATGAAGCGTCGTTTGAACTTAAATCATGGTTTTAAGTATTGTAATCTCGAACAGATTCAAGACATTTTGAAAAGAACTTATCGTTATAGTTCGAATGGATTAATTTTGTGAATAAAAATATCTTGATTGACTAATGCAGCCATCTTCTATTTTCTCAAAATGCTTTTGGAGAAAGAAAACTTATGATTTTTCTTATAAAAAAGTATAGCACATGAACGTCAAGCATAAGTTATGCATACTTCAATTTAAACAGATTTCAATACACCACTGGAAAGAGTACTCTTTACGCTAGAAAAGTCATCATAAAACGTGCTTTTTTCATTGTAGGGTTGATACGAAAAACTTTTTAAAAAATAGAAAAACGATGTCGCGCAATGGTGATGTTGGAAGAAGTTTTGTAGAGCTGGTTGATTTTTGGCATTTTCTCTTTCTTAGATTCAATCTGGACGAGTATGTCTGGTATGAGTTTGACATTTTTCCACAGACTTCGGCATCGTCTATTATTATCTTGTTAATTTTTCTTATGTTCCAGCTAAAATGAAATGAAGGATGTTTTAGTCTATGTATTCTGTGTGAAAAAGTAATAACTGTATTTTCTCGACAGAGAATAATGCAAAAATATGAAATCTTGATCTACTTGTTCATCAAAAAAATCCTTTCGAAGATCATCTATCCACATTGACGTAGAAGTTATATATGCATACGCTACAATACGAATAAGTAGAAATGAATGCTTTGTATAAAAAAGAAAAAAGTACGTGCTATATTTTTTTAATGTAAATAAAAGTTAGAAAATTGTTTCTTAGTTTTTTGTCTCATTATTAACTGATTCTGTCTAAGTTTACTTTAGACAAGGACATTTTTTCTTAATCGGCAATGACATATATATCTTTTGTGAAGCCACTCATGATACTGTAATGTACTATCTGTTTCAATCATCCTTTATTTAAAAAAACAAACTTTGAATAGATCTACATGAGCAATAACAATCAATTTTTTCGATTAAAACAAAATTGAGATATTCGAATATTTGATTACATAGTCATGTATAGTCTACCTTGTATTTTTATTTCATGGATATTTATTTTTCAAGCCTGCACATGATCATTCATTGGTTTCCAAATAGCACATAATTTATTAGACGTCTCAACAAGAGTTTTAAATTGTGCATTATTAACATTAGCTTTATATATAGCTTCTGGAAATCCCCAACGGGCACCAGCTAATATACCTGCAATTGGTGCACAATAACTTTTGTCTTTACCATGAGCATTTTCGATCGCTTGAGTTGCATTTTGCGATACAGAAACATAATGTAATGCAGCATTGAGTACTGTTGGTGCGTAAGCGACATGTGTTTCAACACCAGGATCAGCCCACCGATGATGACGCAATAATACATTCTGTACATCATTATGAAGACGAGGTGTTGTGAATGCTGAATTGACTGCATCACTCCAATCTACATTGTTAATGAGAGAACGACAAATAAGATTTATAATACCAGCTACTTGACCTGCAATTGGACTATAATGAGTTAATTTGGCTTCGAGCATAGTGAAATCAAATAAATCATCATCTGAGATATATTGANGTGTGTCCGTCCATCCGTTTACACGATAACTTTTGAAAGGAGAGTCCGATCGCGATGAAATTTTCTACACAGTTCAGTCTTAACAATGTCTCGGTCAAGTTCGAAGATGAGAAGAATTGGCCGAACCATTCCTGAGTTATTGCAAAAATACTCATTTTTTCCTATGGCTTCCTATGCGAAAATCGACCCATCCCCGCTTTCGTAAAACAATATTCCTATCATACTCAAACAAAACCCCAACTATTATATACCATTCGATAGAGACTTTTACGAGCTACAAAATGGTATATAAAACATAAAGAAACAAGAAGGCTAGCTCACCTATTGCAAAGATAAATAAACGAAAATCGGTTCTGTTCTTGTCCACGCTCTAACTGATCCACAATTAGAGCACTATCTTCCGATAAGAGGTGATGCTTGAAAGTTTTCTATGGTGGAGAACTCGAATCTGTACTCCACTTGTTTCGAAGCCCTATTGGTTGAGCACTGATCAATAGAAATCAAGTTATAGAAAAAACGACTTACTGAGGGTAAATTAAGGCGAAGAACTCAAATCTGAGCTGTATTCGCCCCTAGATCCTATTGGTTGAGCAGTAGTCAATAGAAATCGAGTATTTATAGGAAAAGTTTGCCAGGATAATTTTTCCGTGCACACATTCTAGGATCACTCATTTGTCTCATTCACTTTTTGAAGTACACATAACTCTCGGACTTAAGTCCGAGGTTTTCACATTTTTTTGTTTGTATGTCGACACAGAAAGAATCATTGGTAAATACATTTCAATATGACTAATTAAAAATAAATACTCTGAAAATAAACTCTGCCTAAGGTTATTCTTGTCTAGGATGTTTCCATTTAAAAACGAATGGAAATAAAAGTTTAATAAAACTAAAGCAAATCTAGTTCGTGGGGTGGGACTTGCTAATATCAATCTGGATATTTCTATAGTTGTGTTAATCTTATTTAGTCTAATTAATTGAATCTTGAATTGAAAACATTTACTACTTAGATAGATCCTATTAAATTTTTCACAAGGTTCGTCTACTGACCAATAATTTTTCGTGCATATTATATCCATTTATTGTTTTCCAAGTCGAGACTTCTTGACCCTACCAGAAAACGGATTTTGCCGCAGGCTAGTATGAATCGAGCGGAAAAATCATCGTATCTGGCTCGAAAACTACAGAAACTGATAGGATTTCGATGCAGTATTGAGCACTCAAAAATTTCCGGTTACATCCGGCTGTTTTCCGTCGGAAAGAACAACGAATAGAATGTAGTTGGGCGAAAAAATCCGGAAACTTCCTAGTCTGAAATAGTGCATCGAGGTTGTATCGAATTTTTATGTTCTCTTACCGCAAGTGATCATTCTGCTTTCACGTAAGTGATCAATCCGCTAAGAAAAACAGACAGCGGTTATTTTCGACTGTTAGAAATAAAATCTTCAAGGATACGGAGCGACAATAAAAAACTTCAATTTCTTCCATAAACAATAAAGCCCGATGGATATTTTTCACCGTCAGATAAATGCCATCGATAGGAATCATTTCGATCAAAAATCACTGACTAGTGATGGATACACGAGAAGAATACTTTTAGATTTAGTAAGACATGTTTTTTTGTTCAGAGTATAAAACTAAACAATCTATGATACTTTTAAAGAAAATAAGTAATGAAAGACTGTGCAAAAATGATGTACTTTTCTTCATCATTGCATAGTCAAGATCATATTGATCATTGTGTAGTATAGCATAAACAATTTTTTGAAAAGTTCGTGTCATATCATTGAATAGATTTTATTGAAATCTATGTTTTGATGTTTGAAATAACTCGACAAAAATGAACTGTATTTTGATCTCAAGTTAGTGTCTAAAGATAGTTAAAGATATTTGTATTCATTTTTGGTGTAAAAAGAAAATGAAGACAGCAGTCAGAACGATATTCATTTCAGCTGAAAGCATAAACAATGATTGCAACAGACATTGTTTATCATTGTATCTTTTCATTTTACTATTTGTCGTAAACGATTATCCTAACGACAGTCATTTACAATCATTTGCCGGCTGTTCTATATTCACATGATAAGGTTGCAAATATTGCTGAATTCAAGAATAATCAAATGAAAGACAAGAAAATGCAGAATTAAATTATCAACAACTGAATTAAAATACCAAATCTTCTTAAACAGTATCTAAGGCTGTTGATTCTAATTAACGCTATTCGATTTTATTATTATTAGTCCTTTTACAAGTTACTATATGGATGTTTGTATCGGATCACCCGTTCAACAGCATGCTCACTAAATTGTGACATACACTTGTTCTCTTGACTATTATATGATACGACAGTGTATACGAAGAGCTTAAGCGATCGAACACAAAAATTCTGCGTCATGTTGACTTTGTGTTCAGATCTACGGCAAATATTTATTTTAGATAAGATAACGGACTTTTGAATCTACCACTGGATAGTAGTTCATACTGTGAGGTAGCCGAAAGACAAGGATATTCTCTCTGTAAGTCATTTTTCTAACAAACAATATTGATTATTAATATTCTGTATTATACAACCTGATGGAAACTTAGTCAATGAATAGAATAGTTGAACAATTAGAAATATTACGACTTTAACTCTCGCTTTATGTGTTAACTTATAACCCAATAACAATAAGGACAAGTATAATATGGATATTACTAGAAGTTTACTATCTAATGCATTGTATATTAGAGAAACTATGGCGGCAAAGGTTCTAAAGAATCTAACACTGTAATTTCCAGGTTCCAGAAGATTGTGCCGAAGTTAACTTTTAACAATACCATGTTAAAAAGCATAAAATGAGGGATTGCCATGTTTTCTATGACCTTCACATGAAAACCTAAAAATTTTACACAGACTATCAAAACGACGTTTATTAACGATTTTTTGATCAATTTCTATTTTGTTTTGTGATTCTTTTAACTCTTTAAGACAAGGTTGTAGAAAATGCAGCGATCGCTCATTTCCTGCTCTTTAAAAAATGGTATTAATATACAAAATAATTCAAACAAAGTCCTTCAGAGCCTAAAAACTACGGTGTCCGACTTTGTGGACGCCTTGCTATTATAGTTCATCTTGTAAAGAATGCCATTAGATAGAAAAATCCTGTGACTATTAAAATCATTGTCTAGACTTCAGCTAACATTACAGAAAAATGCGTTGTTGTTAATTTTTTTCCATCACTTTACATAGCTCTTAAAATATTCGTTATTAAACATTCATCAATAAAATAAAATATCAACGTTAATGATTAATATTGTATGCTTTTTATACATTATATAAAATTTTACATTTAAGAATCATTACATATTTATTCAAAGAAAATATTGATAAATGCAACGTAAAATTCCTATTCTACTAGAATGTCAAGTATATCCTATTACATATTTGATATATCAAAGAACGATTACTATTACTTCGGAGAGGTCGTTGCTATGAAACTTAACTTGAAATGAAACCGTTTATCTTTCTCTTTTCTTCTCGTTTACATTGTTTGCAGAGAAGAAAAAAAAAAAAGAAAAAATGGCAATGGACATCTCATGCACATATATGCATCCATACATTACACATATAATTAATCAGAAAAAAAAATCAAAGAAAGAAATAGGACAGAACAAGCGTTCTTTTCAACAGCCAATTTACTTTCTAGACAAACAAAAAAACACCTATCGAAATTTTTAGTTAATACAACCAAAATAAGTTTATAATGGCAACTGTAACAACTGGTCGTGATGATATATCTCCTGTACTTGATCCACATTTATTTACATTTAAACCAAAACTTAATCAAAAAAGTAATGAAATAGCTCAAAATCTTTTATCAGATTTTTATCAACGACAACTACAACATGTTAAACGACTTCAAGAATTTGTGAGTGTCTATGTAACAAAAATATATTACTGGAAAACAATAGTTTTAGTCGATTTTTTAAAATATATTATTATCATAGAAACACATTTAAAAAAAATATTGATATATTCTGAAAGTACTGAGAGTTTTCTATCATCCGATATACTTATGTTTTAACTTTCGCCTACTGAATGGAAAGTAAATCAATTGAAATAGAGGCATCCTCATCGTCGGATTAGCATAAACTAACTTTTGTTACTTAAATTCATTTTTTAAATTTATCATCACTGGGGAAATGGTTCTCTTTAAAAAAAAAAGTGATTTGATATTCTGGTAGAGCTTGAAATTCTCTCTCATTCTATATATTTCTCTTTTGTCTTAAATTTAAGTTCCGATGAATAATGTGAGTATTACTTTGACACATTCATTGAGAAATCTTTCAATACTACTTTTTCTGTTATCATCCAGTTCTTTTTATTTCAAGTTTTGTATTCTTATGGACTAGATTTTTAAAAATGTACCTACATATGCTAGTAGAGTTGAAAATTATCTATCATTTTAAGTTTTTTGAAATAGAAAAACAAAACGAAGAGATAGTTTCGTACGTTGAAGTTTTGAGAATTTGTCAATGAGAGTGCTTATATAATACTGATATTATTCATCACATCATTAATATAAAATATGATGAAACTCTATAAGATAATAAAAAATTTCAAGCTCTATGTGAATTAATTATTTTAGTAACAATTTATTCTCATAAGAATAATAAGCTTGCAAAGAAAATTAAAAATGCATAAAAAATATGCAGATTTTTGTATCTTTCAAGTGGGGGTGGATTCCATACACTCAACATTTTTATTAACAAATAAAAGCAAAACAAATTGATAAATATATATGGTAATACAGAATTTCAACCCCTATCAGAATATCTAATCAATTCTTTTTGTTTTTCAAAGAGAATTATTTCTGTATTGATGATAAATTTCAAAAAAAATATTTGATGAAATAGTGACAAAATTCGGTTCATATGAATCTGATGAGGAGAAGGATACTCTTCATTTCAAGTAATTTAGAGCTCTCAGCACTTTCAGAATATATAAATATTTTTTTTCTAAATGCATGTTTGTGATGAGAATATATTTTAAAGAAATCGACAAAAACAATTTTTTTTCCAGTAGTATATATACTATTTTTATGTTTACAGAAAGAATTAGCTGCTAGTAATTATCGTCAATGGTATTGTCGTGAAAAACGATCAAAATATCAAAATGAAAATAACAGAACAATTTCAGAGAGCAAACCCATAGCAGATGAAGTATTATCTGCTGACGATAACGAACCATCACCAGCACCTATAAAAGGTAGGTTCAATAGAATTATTCTACACATTTAAACGATTTGAAGAATACAAAAAAAAAATTCAACAAGAGAGAATACATCTTTCGTATATTCGATTTTCTCAATATAGAACATTACTGTTCATTTTTTCTTCTGATTTTGGTTTCAGAAATCAATAAAACTCGTGAACGCTTAGCACAACTGGTTCGTATATATCGTACACCTTTACCAAGACGACCAGGATTACCAGCAGCACTCATACAAGCACGATCGACTATACCAGTACCAGGACGATCTGGATCATCGGAAGTATCAGCAATAACAGCACCACTACCAGCGCCAGTACCACCATCACAACCGGCTCCAGTTTTGATACGACCATCTCGACGAATTTCACCCATAGTTCGTCCTAAATCACCACCTAAAGTTGTTCGTCAATCTGATGTATCACCAAAACGTCCTATATTAAATGATTCAATTAATATTGAAAGACTTAAACTTGCAAGAGATGAAGCTGAACGAGCTATGAAAGTATGCACATAAAACACACACACGAAGCCTATAAAACTTTATATTTATTTCATTTATTAGGAACATAAAATATTTACAATCATTGGTCCATATCCAGCTTTACGAGAATCTCTACGACGGTTATTTAATATAGTTTTAAAATGAATTCTATAATAGTTTACGTATTTATTTATTTTAGTCGTGGTTGGATTGAAAAATTTGATCGTTGTCCGTCATTACCATCAATTCATGGAAATAAAAAATCTGATAAAAGAAATAATAAAAGTGATGATGATGATGATGACGATAATAATAATAATGATGATGAATTGGGTGATGATGATCTTGGTTTGTCAATACTTTTGAATTATTTTTATTTAACATTTCTTTTCTTCTATTGTCTTCAAATTTAGATGAAAGTCCTATAGATGATGATGATGATAAAATTCCACCATGGGAAGAAAATGATGGTTATTATGGACTTTTATCACGTCTTGTTAAAACAGCTCCACCAGATTTTATATGGAGTGTACGAGCTACATATGATACAAGTACTTTAAATAAAGATCAAATGGTTAATCATTATTCACGAAATGGTTGTTTTACAACAAAGGTTGTTTGAAATAGTTGATTTTAAGAAAAATGAATTCTATTTTTTATTCTATTCAGGTTGGTCTTTGTAGTAGTCTTAAAAGTTTACCATGGTTTCATTCGGGTTGTGCCGATGAATTTTATCCACGATGTTATAAAATAACACATGACGATGATAAAATTGCATTTATTGGTAAAAAAAAAACAAAAAATTTATGTCAAAAATATTAAAATCATTTATCTGTTTTTTTTTTGCGTTCTTAGATGATTATCGTTTAACATCATGTATAAGTTTTCTTAAACTTGTTCAAAATCGTTGTAGAGGAATTATTGAACCTGATATGAATTCAATATTAGCTATGAGTTCCGATGATCGTACAGCTATTGATCCATCATTAAATTCAGATGATGATCAACAATTACTAGGAATAAATGCAACAATTTCAAGTCCATCATCAGCTAAACCTGTTCTAGGAAAAATTCCATCAACAAAAAAAGTGCCTTCATCATTTATTGAATTTGCTTTAAATAACGTTGAACAATTTACATTATCATGTAATCATGAAGATATTGATATTAATCTTAATTCACAAAATGATTCAACCGATGAACAATGGACACAATTTATTGAACAATTCTATGCTGCATCACAGTAAGAATAAAAACAAAAATTTTTTTTTGTGAAACACAATCTACATGGAACGTTGAAGTATAACAGTAAAAATTCGGATGTCTCCTGCACAGATCATGAGAGATGTTGACATACAATCAAAGACCGTGTATGAATAGTGTCTTATTATAATAAATGAAATACTGTCCTATTGCAATTTCTGAAGGATTATATAAAAGGATGATGTGTTCTAAAATAGATAGAATGAAACAATCTTTCTGTGATTAACAAGAGTAGCTACATGGTGTTTCACATATTAATCCTGTAGGGATTGTGCTAATAGCATTTTTTTTTCTTTGTTTATATAGTTCTTATATGGAAATTGAAGGAATGGAAACATATTTAAATAAAGTTGATGAATGTCTGAAAAATGTTGAACAACATTGGCCACAATATCATATTGATGGAACAAGAAATATCTGGATACTGAAGCCAGGTGCTAAATCAAGAGGACGAGGTTTGTTATAATATTTAAGTTTTTTAAGATTATGATAAAAAATATATGCTGAGCCAAAACATCGAAAGAAAAATCTCTAAAAAAAAGAAAAGAAATTGATAAACTCATGAAGAGAATTATTGATAGTACATCTTTATTAAGCTTGACTTGACTGTAACATTTATATTTAGGAATTGTTGTTTATGATCGTCTTGATGATATATTAAAATTATGTTCATCATCATTAATAAATGATAGAAAATTTGTTGTACAAAAATATATTGAACGACCATTACTTATACATAATACTAAATTTGATATACGTCAATGGTTTTTAGTAACTGATTGGAATCCATTAACTATATGGATGTTTAAAGATTGTTATTTACGTTTTTGTACGGAACATTTTAGTTTATCAACACGACAACAAAATGTACATTTATGTAATTATTCAATACAAAAACATTATAAAAATAATTCAAATCGACATATCGATTTACCGGGTATGAGAAAATTAAAATATTATTTTAAACTAATATTCTTTTCGTTTGTTTGTTTTTTCTATTAGTGGAAAATATGTGGACAAATTCTGAATTTATTGAAAAATATCTTAAACCTAATAAATTAGCTGATAAATGGAATTCATATATTTATCCTGCAATGAAAGATGCTATCATATGTTCAATGCTTGTCGCACAAGATACAATTGAACCGAGAAAAGTAATATATATGTTAGTGTCTGAACTAAGATTGCATCCAATCTGGAATTGTCGAGAAAGTTTTAGTTAAAAATTGAATTAATCTGCCGAACGATTCAGTGTTTTATCTAGATTTTCCCTTCCGAAGGAGTAATTTAAAACTTCGGAAGGCGAGCATCTACTTTAGGGAGCTCAGGCACATAATATGTGGTACAGTAATCACCAACTTCAGGAGGACCAACCTGATTTTCGAAGGACTAGTGCCACCTCCTTGGCCCCGACTCTAAATAAAACACTGGATCGATGTTGGCTTCGGATTCTTATCAATGGACTCTAATGAAGATATGACATTTCAATTAATACAATCATCAATGATTTCATAGATTCAAAATTGACTAGTAAAATTGTATTAATTGAAGTACCATTACTTAGGAATATCTAGTTGTAGTTTACTGACCATCGACATCAACGATAGAGATATGCAGGGTAAGCTTTTTTCTTACCCTTATCCTAAACTACCCCGTACATCTTCAGTCACGAACTCAATGTAGTCTAATGCACACTGGTACCAATGTTCATTGAAGTATTGGAATACGTCGCTATAATAAAAGACATATTTCGATTGAATTGATGTCTGAATGTTACAACGAATGCAAAACGCTCCAAATCATTACTTCATCAAATCTCTTCAAAAAGAAGCCGAGATCGAAATGCAGACTACTTCGAGTTTTAAGGCAAATTTCCAACATTGAATGCAATCTCAGTCTAGACGCTAACAAATATATTTATTTATTTTTATTGAAAAAAAATTATCTATTTTCTTTCTTCATTGAATAGAATTCATTTGAATTATTTGGTGCTGATTTTATGCTCGGTGAAGATCTTAAACCATGGCTTATTGAAATAAATTGTAGTCCAACAATGGCTCGTTGTACAGCAGTAACAACAGAAATGTGTGACGGCGTTCTTGAAGATACTTGTAAAGGTAAGAAGATAATACGAGAAAACGAAACAAACCAAAGAAATTATGTTTATATTCAGTAATAATTGATCGAAAATATAATCGAACAAATGATACAGGTCGTTTTGAAATAATACATAAAGGATTACCTGTACCTGTACCAATCTATATTGGAATTGATCTTCGTATTGAAGGCAAGCCTTGTAAAACTGGCCGAATACAAAACAATCATTCAAATACAAATGGAACAAATCATAATAATACAACAGTAAATGCACCTGTTTCTGCACCACCACAAATATCTTTATCAAAAGATATGTTAACTAATCATAATTCAACACCATCGTATTCAACAAGTGCTCTTGATAATCATCATGATAGATCATCATCAAAAAATGATGATTTGATGCAATCATCAACAGATTATAATGATGCTATGTCATCAACTGATTCTATATTAGAAAAAACTGATGTTTGCCAATATCATTTTCATCCAAATAATAAATCTAATGATATATCATTACCAACAAATGATACAGGACGTAAACGATCAAAAACAAATTCAAATCGTATTACAGTTAATTCGCTTCCAATTCAACCATTAAATAGAGCAAAAATTAATGATCGTATACCATCACCAAAAGGTAAATAGATTAATTTATTTTGAGATTTTGGTTTTTTATATTTTTCCGAAGAAATCTAATAGAATTGTTGAATATGAATCAGTTACCAAAAATACCAGTTCATTCTCAACATGTCAATCGATTAATAAAACAAAAATTAATTGCTCATAATCGAAAGACTCGATTATCATACCGAGATAAACAAATGCATTTTTCCTCTTTGATTATTTTAAATCCACAAGCAGTTGTTCAATAATAGCTTTCATTTTGAATGCACACATTTCTTTTTTTATTTTCAAACATAAAATAGAAAAATAAATGCTAAAAAAGTCTTTTTTTTTCGAACATTAGATAACTATGCACTGGTTATATATCGACATGCTGCACGATTAACATCTCAAACAGGGTACACTAATGCACCTTACAATTTTTAACTGATATTTTTTTTTTTGCATACGAATAATACTTGATTTTTCGAGCGTAAAGAATAGATTTCTTCGATTTTATATTTGTATCTAGGAAACAAAAAACCCCGAATTTCGAAAATGAATGTGACAGACTTTCTATTCAAAGACCAAGGCAAGTTTGTAGAAAGGGATTTCATATTAACCGTGTTACACGTGTGATTTGATTGAAAATAACACTAGATTATTTTTTGTTTTCTTGAATATTATTTCATATTTTTTATATTTAGAACTTAAACCGACGAATAATGTTTCAATTTTTCGTCCATTTCCAAAAACGTTATTACCCCGTAAAAAACAAGAATCACAATTAGATATAAATAATTCGAAAGTTTCAGAACAACCAGAATCAGATTCAAATTCTACAAAATTTCATTCTGATTCACCTATTTCCATGTTAACCACAGGTACAACAGTTGATATTGACACAGAACATACAACTGTTATTGCAGTGGCTTAAATAAAAACAATATTTTTATTTATTTTATTTTTTTCAGTATTTTTTATTACTCAATTTGTATTTCATTTTTTCTAAAACAGTAGAACCTCTGATGAATTGAAATTCTTCGTAGTTGTTAACAAGCATTAACTTTTTATTAGTGAAAGACTATAACTGATATCAATCTCAGACAGTTATAATTTAACAATAAAAGTCCGACTGAATGCAAGATAGTAATTGATAATGAAGTTCATAAAAATATTTTTTTATGACAAATATTAGATTGCTTGAACAAAAACTTATCAGATTATGGAAAAATAAATTACTCTTGTTGTATTTTTGAATTTTTTTTTCTTTGATTATTGTCTTGAGGGAAACTTTTTTTTTAATCGAAAGATAACGCTTGAAATTTTACACATACGGTATACTTTATTTAATGAATATAGCTTCCTTCATCCTTTTGTATTAAACATAATCGTACAGCTAAATGAAGAACGAAATTTAAATTGTTTTGAAGAAAGAGTTTATTTTGTCTATCAATGTTATCTTTTTTGTTATGTGATTCCATTAGATAGCTTCAACCAATTCATTCTATAAACTATAATCTAATGGACATAAATCATGAGAATTTGGTGCCCAACAGATCTTCAGAACAAAGTTAGGAAAATGCTCAGCACAGCATTCTTGACACAGACAATGGGTGTCAAGTCTTGCATGATCTTGCTAATAAGTCTAGTTGTCTTCTACTTAGGGCAGTCCAGAAGTAGTGAGAGTGGTACTTTAGTTCCTTATAAAAAGCTTAAATGTCATAATACTAAAATTTTGATAAGATCTATCTCATTATCATATGTGCCCATTGTATTAAAAGCCACTTTAAAAAATTTGGAATGAGTATTTTTCGAATAACTTTTGATATAAACAAAATAAAGAGCTATGGTTTTCACTGTTGGAAAGAGGGAATAAAGACGCATCGAATCGTATACTTCAGGGTTTCTTGATCTGTTTTTCTAAGGTCTTCAATTGATCTTTTTAAGAACAAACCTATTTGGTAAGTTGTTTACAGTGAATTTTCAATGATTAAGTATAAATTGAAACCACTAAGCAAAGATCTACAAACTGCGAAAGGCTAAGATGAATAATATATATTTTAGTCGAGCCTGTAATACGATTTTCTAGCAATGTCTGTGGAAAAAGTTCACTTTTATGTTTTTTCCTTTTTTCATAAAAAAGAAAACATTTTTCCGACAATTAGAAAATTAAATAAAAATACTTTCGAAATCAATCTTAGAAAAACCTACAATACACGATTCGATGCATCTTCTGGTGTGGTTGTGTATTCCACGAACAATAGCAGACCGAATTATAATTGAGTATCTTCCAATGAAGCCATAAAAGATCCATTTTGCCCAATAATTTCAGAAAGAAAATTTAAAAGATCGAATTGAAATTAGATCACTTTGATACCAATGTTAGAAAATATCAACAATTAAGAGAATTTGTTTTTTTCGAACGAAGTCTCTTTTCATTTAAATAGTTTATCAATAAATATAAAGTGAAAATCCATATGTATAAGCCATATATAAAGATCTGATTGAATTCAAAATGAGAACCAATAATGGAAATCAATTAATTGAAAAATAAACCATCAGCACTATTTTTTTAAAAGAATTTGCAAATGATGAAGTTAAATATTTCAGTTGATAGTAATCATTTGGAATATTTATTGTCAACTATATTATATGAAATAAAACTTTAAACAATATATTATCATATTATAAAAAAATAGTTAAGTCGCTTGAATCGTATGAGAGTTATTTACGTTAACTTTTCCGTCGGACTTTTGAAACACCCTGTATATTGGAATATTTGAAAGTTGAAGAGTACATTTGTGAAACAGGACAAAAAGAAAGCAACGAACTCTTTTCTTAGCTGAGTGTAACAAACTTCTTTTCAACTAATATCGTTTTTTGTGATGATAATCAATTTTTGAAAAAAATTATAGCCCAATTGGTTTTTAGTTACCCATTGCTTTCCATTCCTCAGAATGATTTAGCTGGAAAATGGCCTATGATTTAAAAAGTCCTTGCTACGCTTATTGGTGCACATAACCACTTGTCTCCTATTATCACTACTATGCAGTAAAATTGAGTGTTAGTTCAATGAGAATAGTTTATGTAAATCAGCAAGATATTATAAAATATTGAATACTTAACCGTGATCAATTTAGTCGAGCATATTATAATCTTCATTTATTTTCACTTTTTCTTCTGTAATTTGCAAAGGACTTTCAGAACATTATTATTCTGTGTCGGTACTACTGTCGGTGCCAGAAGTAGATGAGGAAAACCGTAGGAGAAATACCTACCAAAAGGATGCAGCTAGCGAGCTGATCTTTTCACCATTAGAAAGAGTGATGTTTGTGGACTAAATATATGTTATATTCAATAGGTTAGTAGCTGACCAAGGTTGTTAGTTGCCGTTGAAGATGTTGTGTCCTGCAGGACAAAAATATTTCCATATGGATTTCAATTCCAAGATGATCTTTCAATAGGGCAAAGTCTGTTTTTTTTAATATACGCAGTTCCGGACTTATTATTATTTATCATTCAAAAGTTACTCTTGTTACACTCAGCGCCTGTGACGTGTCAAAAATATGATTGTTTTCGAGAAAGAAGAGTCTTTTCATTGTATACCCATGAGGGTTTTCAACCATTCTTATTGGAATGACGACAACGGATTTGTCATTCAGATATTGATTTACTTCGATCACCACTATGTTTCATCACTTTCTCCTAATTCTGATATAATTGGCACTTTCGACCAGACAGTTTCTCTTTTACTTGCTCGTCACGTAAAATCTTGAATACGAAAGATGTTAAATATGCTTTCTCTTTTCTATATCTCTGACCACCGGCTAGAAAGAGAGAAACGATAGATTTTTTTGGGTAATTTACGTTCATCTACATATATATATCACATCCTTGCTTGCGCCATTCTTTCCACCTATTTTCATTATGCCAGGAGGCGTTCATTTCATTCATGAGATCAAAGAAATATTTGTTCGTGTTATTGACTTCGTCGAAAGTGAGAAAATGAGACCGCAAACTCCAATGAATAATACGACTTCGCGCATTATCACAATGTTGGGTATTTCTGAGTGTTCATTATGGAATTTGAAGACGGAACTGAAGGTAGCACGTGAATTACGAGAAACACAAGACAAGAAAGAAGAAGCGAAGCGCTTACGGCTTCAATCTGCATCACAAACCCTTTCCACGAAGATTCCACATAAAAAGCAGATGTTTCAACCTGGTCCACATCTTACGAGATGAACGTAGTTCGACCAGAGGCTTCCATCAAGATCCCGGGACGTTCACAAATTCATTAATCCGAAGAAGCTGATGACAAAATTCGATTTCAGTTCTATCTATTGCTGGCAGAAAAATCTACCCTACGATTGTTATTCTTCTCGCAGCTTACATAGATTTTCCAGTTCGTCGTTCACAGACAGCTCTTCGACAATATATGTATCGATTAGGCTTCTCCTACAAAATGACAGGCACGGTAAAGGTGACACTTGATGATAACTTTTTCGTCACTCAACGCGCTTTTTACTTTCGGAAACTTGATGAATTGCGCAAAGCTGCTGGTGCTTGGATTATGTTTCACGATGAAACATGGGTGAATATTGAAGATGAGAAAAGATCGATTTGGATCGACAATCTTGGAAAAGGACGGCTTCGAAAAACAGGTGGAAAAAGGAAAAAGACTAAGAGTTCTGTTCGATATTAAATCTATATATTTTTCTATGTAGGTACTCGTTTCAGAATATCTGCTATGATCAATGCGAGTGGATTTCACTTGCCCTCTGTCTAAATTTTCGACTGTTCAAAAAGATGATTCCATGACATCAGCATATTTCATCGAATGGTTTAAAAAGACAGCTTTTCGTCTAAATGAGGATAACGGTAAATTTTGTTCGAATTAGAATTTCTAAAGTTTTGGTTTTGAGATAAGGTGGTAACCGACGAATACCTACAGTCATCGATAATGTCACATGGCATTCAGAACTTACGGAAAAATCAAAGTCGGTCAAAAGATCAAATAATCGAATAGTTGGAAAATCACAAAATTGAATTTGATTCGACATTTAAGAAATCGGAATTGTTAGAGATTGTTTCCAATAACAAACTCATAAAAGAATATAAAGTGTAGCCCTTTTTATGATATTCATATGTTTTGAAACTATAATAATTAGATCGACGAGGTCGTACAAGAGTTCAACGTACAAATATTGCGATTACCAGTGCACAATTGCTCATTAAATCCGGTTGAGATTGCTTGGGCTGGATCGAAGGACTATATTCGTAAAAACAATACTAGTTTTTCGTTGAGAAATGTTTATGAATTAGCCTCCGAATTTATTGCTCGCTTCAATGGCAAAGCAGCGCAAGGTGCGATCGGTCATGCTGAAAAAGTAGAGACGATGTATGAAACAGTGGATGAATTTGTAGAGAATATTTGTGCCGATATTGATGTCACACTCCACTGATTTTCTTTTTCTCTTTCCTTTTATAATTTCGTTCTCCCTTTGGAGCGAGTCAATCAAAGGAGGAGAAAGGGAGACAGAGAGAGAGAGAACACAAAGAAGAGAAAGAAAAACACACACGTTCGATACGACAGATTCATTTGAACACATCAGTGATAATCACCGGTATGCACAGGAAGAAGAAGTTATTGTATACACACTCATTATTTAAGATAGAGCACGTACTTATATCGGCACATTTGCCCTACCGAAAGATTACCTTGGAGTTGAAAATCCATATGAATATGTTTTTGTCCTGCAGGACACAAAATCTTCAACGGCAACTAACAACCTTGGTCAGTCACTAACCTATTGAATATAACTAGCATACATTTAGCCCTCAGACATAACTCTTTCTAATGATGAAAAGACCAGCTCGCTAGCTGCATCCATTCGAGAGATATTTCTTCTAGAGTTTTCCACATCTACTTCT